TCGTCCGGGAGTGGCGCCGTCGCGCGCGGTTACTTGCGCGGCGCCGTAATGCGGCACTTTTTCGATGGGCGCGGCAATAATTGACTTGTCGATTGGAGCGACGGATTTGCTGCAGTCCACGTTAACCGTTTTGGTCCTGGTGGTGGTAACTGCCACTATCAACTTCAAATGCCTGCATAACTGGAGCAACAGCATATTTTTACTACTGCTAGAGCTTGCTTCAGTCAACCTTCCCCTTCCTAATTATGCTAAACCTGCCATTTCATTGTGTGTTGCTGTTAGTATTACAAGTATTTGTGTACAAGTGCAACAATGAATCGGCGCTGCTCCCGCAACCTGCTCGAAAATGTTAGTCTTTTCTAGTACTTAAAAACATTTCCGTTCTCTTATTGAAAACGTTTTTGTCTCTTATTGTTTTTCATGCCGATCCGCGCGTGTCCAGTCTTTTTTGGCAAGGGATATTTCCAGGATGTTATCTCGTTAATTCCAGACCTGAAAATCAGAATAAATAGAAAACTGAGAAAGAACAATCGTTACCGCATTATATGAGAAGGGGAAAGCAATAAAGCCCACTGGAACCAAAATCACCCATGCATTGACGAAAATGTTAAAGGAAGGAGTCAGTCTAGCGTCCTAACATTCACATCGAATATTACAGCAAACTCGTCCACCGCCACCGCGACGTCGCGGCCACGACCACTAGCGCGGGTCTTCGGACGATTCTGTTGACACGCACCCTGTTAGACTTAACATACTCACATGCTCTACTAGAGTCCCTTCCCCTCAATGAGGCTTGATTCTAAGCACAGTAAATGGTTCACTCCGATGTTCTCACCCCCCCCCCCTCACCCCGAACTACATGAGTGCCCTGATCATCATGTTCCTCCTCATCCTTTCCTACTGAACCTTCCTTACTATCATCGCTATCCACAAATCCTCACGCGTCTGAAAGTGATTCAATTGCAGAATCTCGTACTCTTTATTCGTCACACGCTTAGACGTGTTGCATTCCATTGCAAAAGCCCGCAAAGACTTGCCTCATCCGAATCGCCGCGCAGCCCGCCGCGCGATTTGCCGCGTGCCAACCCGGACGAGCCAAAAAACCGCCACCCCTCATGTGTGGGGTCAAAACTCTCTACAGTCCCATCTTCTCAAAAGATGCCTCCCAATGTGATGATTGAACCGATTGCCGTAAAACGGACTCACACGGGCACTCTCAATGCGATGATTGAACGGCGTAAACGGATGCACACGCGGCAAAATTGGCTTTAACGGCCAAGATTCTTGATTTCAAGGACACGAACCAACGTTGTCGTTGCAAAGTTACAATGTTGTTTCAAAGACAACTTATCTTAAACAAATTTATTGAAAAAAAAACATAAAATGCTTGTTAAGAATTTCGAGTATTTTTAGATAGTTGACTCATAGGTGTACATTGCGTAATCTACTGTTTTTTGGGCTATGTATGTCAGATCCTGCAAATGGTGGTCAGTATATGTTGAGAAGTAGTGAGATATGACGTGTTTGACATGAATCTAGGGTGGGTGAATGCATATACACAGTCCTCGACTGCCCTAACTCGCTTAACATGAGAAATGTTATGTATGGCCTGAGTCGAAGGCAAATTTGCATCGAACTGATTTCGTATGAGTGTTCTTTGTGTCGATATAGGGAGAAAGATCAGGGGCGAAACAATCCTTATATGGCATTCCTAACTTTACAGCAGCTGGCGAAACTTCATGAAGTTTCAAGACATTCTTCAGTTTTTTCCTTCAGAAGGTGGTAGATCCCGAGACGTCAACTATCCAGTGCAGCTGTCCCCGAGCCGGGGATGGGTCCTCTGACCCACGTTTGTTAAAGATATGCTCCCAACGTCGGGAACATACTCCCCGGTGCGGGTGAGGGATGAGTCCCCCATCTTGGTAACATCCCCGAGCTCGGAGACATGTCCCCAAACTTTGGAACGTATCCTCCTTCTCGGATAAACATCACCAACATCGGGGACATTTCCCCATCCCCGACATGCAGTAAGCGACCACGTAAGAACCTCCGTCACACGTCCGTAAATTTTCGTTTGGCCTGTGACTTCGACATTCAAAACGGTGATGCGCGACTCTTCGACCTCTTTCAGGGTCAACCGTCTGTTCGAACTGTTCGAACGAAGGGGTCGCATTTTGGTCGGAAGGGGGTCGCAATTTCGAGGACTGTCAGCCACAGGCGCGTGCGTGGCGTATCCGAGGGCAAGAATTGTTTGTGCAGACCGCATTAGATTCGATTAATTATGCACAAAGAGACAGTTTTGGGCAAATTACGGTGTTTTCCTTGAGGAATAGAGAACAGTTGAATGCATCTCCATGAAAAGTTTGACTTCTTGTGGCTGAAATTGAACTTCTTCGGGAACCTACTTTTCTACGGACGGTTCTTCCACAAAATCGTGAAACACATAAGAAAGAAGAAACCTCGCGGTCTTCAAAAATGTCTTCGCCTCTTTCCAACATGCTCTTTGAAGGAAGTTATTATTGCTGAAAGCTCGAAAAACTCGCATGTGCTGCTCAAAAACCTATGGGATCCAAATGTTCGAACGTGGGATTTTCTCGAAAAATGAACTTTGAAAAATGGTTTAGGGCTTGTTAGAAAGAGCAAATTCTGCTCTTTCACCCCATGGAAAGAGGGAAACGCAGCAATCAAAATGAAGCGAGTTATGCTCGTTGAAAGCCCAAAAACTCGCGATTTCAAAGAATGTGTTCGGCAAAACCGCCCGAAATGTTCGAACGTGGGATTTTCTCGAAAAATGAACTTTGAAAAATGGTTTAGGGCTTATTAGAAAGAGCAAAACCTGCTCTTTCACCCCATGGAAAGAGGGAAACACAGCAATCAAAATGAAGTGAGTTATAGTCGCTGAAAGCTTAAAAACTCGGTTTTGCACGGGAACTGTTCGAACGGGGCAAATTTTTGAAAAAGGGGACAATCACTTAACTTTTTATAATCTTTTGTTAGAGAAATATTTGAAGTTTCTAAAACTTTTCACAAATTTCCAAGATGTCGCATACGAAAGATTTTATGAGCTCTCAAAGTTGGAGGTGCGCCTTCTCAGAATTTTGGGTTTTCCGCTTCTGACAGAAATACTTTTGGGAGAGTTAGGTCATCCTTGCAATTTTCTGTAAAGCCACCTCAGGCACAGTTTAAACCTACCTCAATAAGTGAAACAAATACGTCTCAAGAAAGTTACACTCTCCTAAAACTTTTTCTTCGCCGCGTCCCAGTTTTCCAGCGTCCGGGTGATACCTGCCGCGCTCCAAGGTTGACGCCGCAACGCAAACGCTTTCTGCGGCGGTTTCTGACGCAATCATGTCAGTCCTACTCTTCTTTAATCCTTCCTCTTTTTTCAGCTGTTTGAGCAGAAGTTCGTCAGTCTTCATGTTACTTGTTGGATATCCCTCCATTTGGTCTTACACATTTCGCTTTCATCCTCATTTTGGCGTGATTGTGAGCGAACAAAAATTTTGATCTCGCGAGGCTAACCATAAAAAATAGCTTTCATTAGCCAGTGCCCTGTGATTCTTGCTCCTTTGGGGCTCATCTTAGGAGATGCATTGATGGAGAACGTAACTCTCTTTGATTTACTCCCTTGAACTGCTCTTGTGATTCTTTCGGAAGCATGAAGTTTGAAGTTTTGGGCAACATGAAAAAAATATTGAATTTTTTTCAGAAATTCAATGATTTTTTGAAAACAATTCAATTCAAATTTCAGTGAAGATCTCAATATTCAAATGTTCTGTTCATATTTCATGGAAGTTCATTGTCCATTTGAAAACAATGAACTTACGAACTTACGAACACAACATTTGAATATTGAATTCTTTACTGAACATTTGAATTGAATTTTTGAAAAGAATTCAATTCAAATGCCAGTGAAGAATTCAATATTCAAATGTTTTGTTCTATGTCATGGAAGTTCATTGTCTTTAAAAGGTTTTAGTTCACTGTCTTTGAAGTAAAATGAGTGAAATAAATATTTCACTTAACATTTAGTCAGCACATTCGGCACTTCCATTACCTAAGAGGGGGTCGCAACTGGACCCCCTTGAGATAAGGGGGTGACCCCCTTGAGAAAAGGGGGTCGCAAAAACCCTGAAAATGTTCGAACGTGACGGTTGACCCTGCTTCCGGTTGTGAATGAGTCTCCTAGCGAGAAATCGGGGGATCTGGCAGAAGAGGGGAAACGCGACAAGTGGCGCGTCGTTAGTTCAGGGTTTCTGAGCCTAGGTTCTTTGGCGATTCAATGGATCGTATCAGAAGTCTCATAGAAGGACTAGAGGCATGCGTAGCTTTTTTCCCGCTATTATTACTCTTGCTTTACCGTTGGCGGTTTTTCGTAATTCATGGTTGGCCTATGCATCTATACAACCTAAGGCGGAGAGGAGAGGAGTGAGAAGGGTCAAAAAATTTTTCGAGATTACTGGCTTCCATATGGGTTCGACGCTTTTTGAATATGAAAATGATTCGTTTTGCATTCCGGCAATTTACGCATATTCTCGCAAGACGAACAAAACAAGGAAATAGGGAGCAATAGCGCAACGACAACAATGTCTTATTCGTAATAGGGACCAATAAATCGCTACACAGTTTTACAGCGAGTTTGTGGGATCAGTTGTGGCGCATCGCCAATAATTGATGGGCGCATTCGTGATAGGGCCTCGCCGATAACCCGTAGGAAAGTTTTTAGAAGCGGAAAAATGATCTTTCACCCCCCCCCCCCCGCCGCCATGCGAGTTGTAAGGTGATCAGTGCAAGCAGGAAAGAAGGAAGCAGGGCAAGCAGAGAAATGACAGGAAGGCAACTGTGAGGAAAGATTTAAGGAATTCGTCTCGAAAACCTTGCATTTCTGTGCCAACATGCTATTGCCAAGTTGGGACAAGATTCAGGTCCGAAGAGAAACTAACTTACAACCACTACGGATAATCGAAGGTGTTGTGAACTCATTAGTGGCGCGCACCCAAAGGCGGGGCTTGGAAAAAAGTCTTGGGGCAGCTTCTTATCAGGCTATGCAGTGAAAGAATGAGGTAAAGCGTGCGATTTTGGATAGTAGAGACAAATCGATCGGATAGACTAAGATGCAGTGAGTGTGAATGTTAAACGCGATAAGTCAAAGCGGGAAAGGGTTCTAGGCGGCACCTAGACAAGGGGGGCATCCCGTCGCCGATTTGCGGCAAATGGTGTGGCATGACCTTACGCTGCAGCAGATCTTCGGTTTCGATTTACCAAACAAATGATTTTGTACTTTTCGTTCTTAGCCAGTAACGATGTGGCCAAGCAGTCGTCAGATAAATGGAGCGCTTTGACAAAATTTCAACGGACCCTTGCTACATGTCGTGATGGACACACGTCCTCAAAGTTAGAATTATGTCCCCGAGCTTGGGGATATATCCACAGGGTGGGGACCCATCCCCCTCATCCACATCGGGGATTGTCTTGTTTTGGACCTTTACTCACACGGCTGCCCTTTGATCCAAACAGCGTACGATAGTTCGTGTTCTCTATGATAAAGCAGATAGCTGGGCGTCACAAAGCTGCTTGATGATTTATTGGATTATCGTCTGATCCAGTTGCGATTTACGGTGCTGTAGCGGCTGGTGAAGCTTTTCGATGCTTGATCCCCACCAAGAAGCAATACCGCGCGGAAGGGGTTCGATGATGTTCTTGGACTGCTAGCGAAATGCCCGAAGCTAATCGTTGACTGTGCGGTCACGCTGGCGCGAGTTGCGGCACCCTTCCGCACTTTGGTCTCTGCCTCTATTTGCCTTGAAGGGCTCAGATGATCTAGAACCTACAAAATAGCACTAGTTCCTTAATTTATTTATCATCAAGATTCGGTTATTAGTCATCGTCAAACACATCGAAGACTAGAAGCCTCCTCAGTGAGACAGTGCTTACAATGTAAAAGGTCTTTCAGTCGCGGCTGGTCTTCAATCACCGGTGAGGAAATAGGCTGAAAGAAAATTCCGTAGGGTCGCTGCAACAGATTGCATCATATGGTCTTTTCTCGTAATGTCTGCACATAATCAGCGCATTCCTAGCAGTTTTCAGTTTGTGGGAAATAATGGAAAAAAGCCGTTTCCGGGATCAACGAGAAAAATTCTTGAGAGGAGCGATTTTTACAATTTAGAAAGCCATAACTTCCTTCAAATGCAATATTCCAGAAAGCTTCGAACGATTTCGTAAATAGAACTTTTCTCATCCAATGGTTATTATTTGATCTCATCGTTGCTTGCCTCTCAAAGACCTGTTGGGCTTGTTTGGTATGCAGGGGTCACTAATTATGCTTGCACAAGTCCTTTTCACGATCACGTTCGTGGTGACAGACTCGCTGTAGTAATAACCTTGGGATTCACAAAATTTCTCCCCTTCAGTAAGTGCAAAAGTGGTAGTGGTAATGTTTTTACCTTTTATGGTTATATTTTTATGAACTTGACGCTAAAATCCGTATTTCTGCTTGTGCAGTGGATACCTTGTGGTCATTTAAACGGTCCCTTACGGGAAAACCTTAATGTCTTTTTAGCTCACATTCCCTATTTAAGGCGCACGGCATCGGTCAAACTTGCCATGGGACACGCCGTGCTTCGACATTCGGTGCAAATCGCGGTTCCATTAACTCCCAAGCGGGCTACCCCTGCTCTAGTCCTTGTTGATTCTAGCACTCACAATCACTTCGCTTCCATTGCGACCGCTATTACGACCCCCCGGGGAGGTTCTCAAGGCGCGGTTGACCTTTGCTCGGGGATCATCTTTGGAACGCTTGTCTGCAAGGGTAAAAATCTTGACATGTGGATTGGCTGTCAACGTCAGCCCGCACAGCGCAAGTCATTGTATAGGCCAAATCGCATTTAAAGTGCCATTGAATATGAATAGAAATAGAATGCGTGGCGCAACTCAAAAGGGATTGATCATGGGTCGACGCTTTAACCTGGATTCCTTTATGGTTTGCAGTTACGAAGTCAACAGCATTTTTACGCATTCAGATGGAATTATATGCGTGAACTGGACCTTATATTCGCCTGCATAAATAACATTTTCTTCTCCTCCAGCAATGGCTATAATATCGTATTTGGTCGTATTATATCTCCAATGCTTTGGATTAATTGTTTCCCCAACTGCCACGTATATGAATTGTACGCCGGCTTTCCGTATCTGAAATTAAATATGTACTTCTCATTATGTCATTCGATAGTCTCGTTCCTGCATTTTACGGTCATTAGCTGTGTCCTCCCACCTTATCCGCTTGATCTACGCTCGACATCTTATGGAATCCATTATCAGTCATGTCAAGATCTGGATATCGCCATACGTGGTGTCACGCATCCGAGCACAAACTGTTTTACTCGTTTCTTGTCTGAACATACCAGTATTATTTTGGTTTGTTAGCAATCATATTGTAGGTTGCTGAGTCTATCCTAAAAGCGAAAGCGTCATGAGAGGATCTGGTTTAAGGAAATGGTAAATCGGATAATTCGTTAAATTGCTCTTCAAAAGTTTTACAATCAAAAAAATCGATGCTCTTTTGTGGAAGAGTGAGAAGTTGGATAGTTTTCGAGAATAGCTGCTGGCGATGCAGAGCCTTGCCAGAGATCGCTTCGTTTGCACATGTCCCTTAGGCTTTTATTTGCTTTTTGTTGAGTGTAGGCGAAGACCTCTTCTTTCCAAACTTGCTGATATGGTTCGGGTCAGCCCTTTTCATCAACTTGAACGAGTAGCATAGTACACTCTGATTTCAGTGTCATAGCAGGTGACCCAACACGCCGTCCTACTGGAAGCAAGCGGGAGAGAGGACGAGATGATGAAGGCAGGAAATGGGGAGGGGATTGCTACCAGGCTTTTACATGTGTGAGGAAAGCGGGGTCTATTGTCCAACGCTTTTTCTTGCACGTAGAACTGACGTTTCCTCTTTTATGGTCACCTGCCTGTTTCGAGAAGTCCTTGCCTTTCGCTCGACGGGGTCAGTGACATTTGTGGAGGACAACAACACGGAACTCTGCGCGCACTTCTTGTGCATGTCGTAGTGTGCGGTGTTTTGAAATGGGCGCTCTGCGTGGGTTATGGAGACTACGGGGCTCTTATACGCTCGCCCATTCTTTTGTAGGGTTAGCTTGCCGTTTCTCCAACGTAAAATTCACCGCATCTTCTACTTATATACACAACACACCTCATCTGGCACACCTTCTCATCTCCACATATCGTACAGTTTGCTTCTTTCGCACCGATTTTCATATGGACGTGATGATGTCAGAAGGCGTCGTAGCGAAGGTGGTGGTCGGAAGATCAGGTTGATTGGAGTCCTGATCTTCTTACAACGCGGTCTATGTCCATTGCGAGATCATCGGTGATAAACGGTAACAGGAGAGGAGTGCCAGACGGAGAACGACACGGTTTCCAACTAAGATATTGCCCGTAGTGTTTCATCTCCTTCGGTTATTATCTCCTGAACATTCACGGAAGTCAGCTTGCACGATGTCGAGATCATGTGTTGAACGACATTCAGTTTCATGTGGAGAGGGTGGCAACTACGAGCGTGTATCAGAATATTACGAGATGGCCCTCTACACCATACTTGAACTGACCTGACCGTTAGTGTCATTGACTGGTGCGCCAAATTCAACTTAGAAAACGTCTCTCGCAAAGCAGCTCTTGTTTTGCCGACGATAAAGATGTCATCGATGTATCGTCCGAAATATAATATTCCTGATGACAGAGCGGTTCGTTCAGGCTATCCATGAACACTCTCGCAAGAACGGAGCCAACCTGCTTCCCATGGCGAATCCTCGTTTCTACTAGTAGAACTGATTCCGGAAACGGAGTGTCTACTTCCACTGGCACAATCTCTTCGATGCCGTTTATATTGAAGGCAGCGATTACGATAAATTCAAGAAGGGTTCAGGTGACGTGGTGGTGCTCAATGGTACGCCAGTAGCGAAAAAAGCAGAAAAATCCGTCAAGAAAACGCAAAACGGGACCCCTTTTTGGCCGTTGGTTTTCACTCATGAACAGGTAACAGCTCAGAAAGTGGACGTATGAACGAGTTCACCGCAACGCGTTTGATGGCACCATGCCAAACCACGCTTTAATCGAGATGCTCCATTTGCGCCGCTGCTGGCCACGCAGCTCGTCCAAATCAACAAGTAAACTAGTGGGCGGAGCGCTTTCGAAGTCCTGCTCAGCAACCAGCGCACCTTTCGTTGTGAAAGCGCCACATCTCGCTTCCCTGGCAGCCAAGTAACTGATTCGTGTGGTGCATATGCTTCCCCGATGCGCTCCCTCTTTATCGTAATCGCTGCCTTTAAGTACTCCACTACTCGAGTCTCCAAGAAGAACGTAGTTTTGTGACTGCACTGTAACTGAACGACATAAACGACGCACAGAGCGACAGACAAAGCGCTATATTGTAAGTAGGATTTCAATTCTAAAGGAGTATGGATTTGTGAGAGATTTCTTCAAAAGGTAGATGCGCCCTCATTAACCTTAACTTTCCTTCAAAAAACAGTTGTGTTCCCGACGTCCAACGGCAGCAACTCACCGCTAATGCTTCATTTGCTAGATATAACGAGTAACCAAGTTTTGTTGATTGCCCTTTGAATTTTCTGTGTTCACGCAGAAATTCCCTGAATCATCAACATCTGTAGGATATTACATGTGTAACATCATCGAGATCAGCTATAACTGGTAGTCGTTTCACCAGCTTACTGAAGTCTGGTGGCAGAATATTCTTCAATTGGCAAATCAACTTTTGGAACGTTGGTAATCTTGATCATTCCAACTCTCACTCCATCTATTGCCTTGACCACTTCTCGCATATATTGTAAGATCTGAAAAAGGTACCCTCGTTCCTTGAAAAATGAGGTGCGCTAATGGTGGCCCATAGGATTAGAAGTAGAAGTGCATATGGTGCGGCAGTGTAGCGAAACCGAAGCAACCTACGACTCAGAATCGGATACTTGTTTTCTTTGTTTCGGTGTTTGAAGCGGCTCAGCGCTAAGACCTGCCAAATAC